CTGGCCCTCTTCCAGTCCTCTGGCACTACACCAGAGCACCACGAGCGCTCATAAAGCTGTGCCAGGGGTCCCGCAATGACCTCAGCCAATTCCCTCAGTACTCGGGGGTGGAGATCATCTGGACTAGCTGATTTGAATACATCCAGTCCTTCCAGAAGTTTCCTAGCTAGCTCCTCACTAACCCTTGGCTTAGGTGCGCCTTCCCTGGGGTCTAACGGGGGCCTAGAGTGGGGGGGTGACTGTTCTGGTCCCTGCTCAGGAAAATGGAGGCAAAGAAATCGTTAAATATGTTGGCTTTGTCATCTGGTGTGATGACCAAATTTCCTAGCGTGTCCTTCAGGGGCCCCACATTACCCGGAACCTTCTTTTTGTCCCCTATGCATTTAGAAAAGGACTTCTTGTTGTCCTTGATCTGAAAAGGAAGAGCCATTTGCTTAATTTACAGAACTTCTCAGTTTGCCACAGTGTGAAAGCCACTTTCTGTCACCAGTCGGAGAATCTCTATTTAACACGCGTGTCTCAGAATCTAACAACTAACATGGGAAATCCAGTGTTAACCTTCGCAAATTTCACTTTCAGGATGGGCATTTTCAAGGCTGTTCATTTGGATCCAGCAGTCGGGAAAGGATGGGGCAGGAGACAAAGACATCAGGAAGCTAGTCACCTGGCTAGGTACCCAGTTTCACTAGAACTGGCCAGGCCTCTATTTCTACATTGGACATGTGGCTACCTTCTCAGCTGTCAATATGTCATTACCCAGAGCACAAGTGGTTGCAGAGTCTGCAACTCTGTACCTGGACAGAAGGCAATATAGCTGCCTTAGGAAGGGGATACTCCTTCAAGGCAAACCTAGACCCCAGTGGAAGCCCAGACCCAGCAGGTTCCTTACTGCAAAGGCACCAGGTCCAATGAATATTTGATCTACAGGGGAAACTGCTTTAACTAAAAATATTTTATTATCCCTGAAAGTAGCTTTTTAATCAAAATAATTTTTTCTTTCACTTTTTTGTGAGTTCCACATTTGGCTACATGGCAGGACTTTATATGAGAGAAGTTGAAACTTTTATTTTATTGATTTTCCTTTCTTATGCTCTGTTAATTCTGGGTCACACTACCCTATTCTCTGGGAAGATGAGTGAGCACTCTCTTCCAAACTGAGCCCCCCATAGGGGATCCTGTTAGTTGTCTTCATTGATCCTAGCTTGAGGACGATTGTCTTCCAGTGAGGTGTCTTTTGCCTGGAATGACAGAAGCACCGACTGAAATATGGAACCCCATACAGCACTGACTGAACTGAACCATTTTGCTAGGGAACAGGAGAGGGGCTGAGGAAGAGAGTACTGGAAACCCTCTATCAATCCCTTAATAACTGGAGAGGCTGGTAGCCTGCTGGTTTTGATGGATGGCCTGCCTGCCAGCTGCACATGTAGCACTCCCCGCATGTTCCCTCCCCTCCTGCCCCAGAAAAGAAGAACCCTAATGAATTTCAGATCCAAAAAATCCCTCTCTGAGGAGGACCTGGCTTTATATTCTTCTATTCTGGTCAGCACTAAGAAGAATGCAAAGGTAGCATTCTGTGATATTGTTCCCATTCTCAAACTCAAAGACAATTATGTCATGTATCTTAGCACCCTCTAGTGGGAATTCTGAGACGCAACCAAATATTTAGCTTTAAATTAATTTAGTGGGACAGGAAGAATTTATCTTTAAAAACTGCAAGAATGCTTTCCATTTGGAGGCTTGTCTAAATCTACACAACCATGCACTTGGTTTAATAAGGGACAAAACCCACAAAGTGCCTTGCCTCTCATAAAATACCTCTGAAATTTAAATGAGTTTTTCTTTAAAAGCTTAATTTTGAGAAAATATTTTACCACACACACACACACACACACACACACACACACACACACACACACCTGTGAATGCACTGCAGGTTGCAGTTCTGCCTTGTTACCCTACTGCTTCTGTCAGTGCTGCCATTACACTGTTTCTGGGTGTTCATAACCTTATTTGATTTCCGGTCCATCTGAATTTAGAGAAAAATTCTCATGTTGGGAATTCCACTTCTTTCTTCATATTTGCAAAGCCAGAACTCAAATCTGCAAACCCTCAGCATGTGCTACTTTTTATAGGACAATTATTTCAGAATAAAGTTACGTGTGTTTAAAGGCATGAAGTATCAGGTGTATCATATTTAAATAACTTATGTTTACTTCAATGAGGAATAAAAAGAACATGCTTATTTTAGCTGCTTTAATTTTAAAAGGAGCTTGTTTTAAAGAATATAACCTTTTCTGGCCTATTACAGTAAAAGCTTTGTTTTCTGGCATGAGTGGGGTAAGGGGGTGCCAGTTATATAAAAATTCCAGTTACCTGAGATCAGGGGGCCAGG